TTTCCAACCAAACCGACATGAAAATTAAGGTTTTAAATTCAAGGGGCAATAGTGGCTAAAGTTGTTCATGATGCAATTAAAAGTTGGTGCAGCGTAGGTTATTATCTTAATTTTTTTAAAAAATTTTAAAAAAATTATAAATTGATAATTTTTTCATTTGATAAAAACATAAGATTTCATCAATAAGCAAAAGCTACAGTTGTAATCTCATGAAAGAAAAGCCTTATAGGCAAAAGAATCAAATCTATAGCATTGATAATAGAAGACAATACCCTGCTACAAATTTGATAGTTAGGATCAAAAGCCATTAATAGTGTTTGCCATAGGAGCGCATGTAGGCCTATATAACTAAGTGGTTACCCTTTTTAGTGTCTAGAGTTTTTGAGCAATCACATCTGCGCCACTAAATTTAGGGAGAGAGTAAAAGTATCGACTTGTAATCGTCCTTGCTCACTACGAGGCGTTGTTGATGACAACCAAGACTATGTGCCAACCCATTTGAGCCCAATTACTACATTTGTACTGTCCTCCTTTTCTGTCAAAGCACAACCCAAAGAAATATCAAGATGACTTAGGTAAAGACTTTAAAAAGAGAAAAACACCCGTATAAGGGAGAGGGAATCCTCAAGAAAGACAATCTCTCATTATTATTCATCCTCATTAATTGCCAAAGGGGATGGAGAAGGCAGTGGCTTGAGAGAGGAGCAAGAGAAGACGAGTAGAGTCAAGGCTCAAGGGAGAGAGAGAGGAAAGAGGCAATTAAGGTTCGATTAAAGTAATAAGTTGATTTTTTATATATCAAATAATAAATTATATAATTAAAAATAATTTTTTTTATTTTTTCTCCATAATCTTTTTCGTAACAATTTCAACATTTAAATTTAAGTTTTTTAATTTAAAATCTTAAAATTCTAATTATTTTAGATTCTCTTTTGAGACCACTCATTAATTGATAAAATTAATTAAACCAAACACAACCAAAAAGAATTTAAGTGGCAATAATCATTTCTCGTGCGGGAGACCATGCCCGTATTTTCCCGTAGTTCACTTTTGCATTAGGTAAGTCCCAGAAGGACGAAGGATGTCCTTTTATCCGTAGTGAAGGAGTGATTAACTTTTGTCCTTCATCCTGAGGCTTCATTATTGACGCAGAAATAAAAATATTAGAATTTAGATTCAGATTTTAAGTTTCGACAGTCGGTACTTTAAAATATTATTTTTTTAATATATTAAATCGAGGTAAAGTATGTTATTAAAATGGTTTAAAGATATATTAAATTTAAAATACACAAAAATTAATTTAAAACACTTTTTCTTTTTTTTTTCAATTTTTGATAAAGGTTAAAATTTTTCGACTAACGAATCTAAACATTTAAAGGTTTAAAACACTTAAGTGTAAATAGTTTAAGTATAAATATTAAGAAAATTAATATTATTTTCCTCTATAAGAGTGCAGAAGGACAGGGGACGATTGAAATTATGAATGCCTTTGACTTTAATTTTTTAACAACCTCAGCTGTAACTTTATACACAAGAATGTCATAAGAAAAAAAATAAGACATATGAACTCAGTTCATTTCCCGAGAGATGTTATAATAGTCCTAAGTATTGTGTGACCGCCTCATTGAAGTAAGGGACTATGTTTAACTCTTAATCCAAATCTTTATATTTGCCTATATAATAAAAAACTGATTTTGACTAATTTCCATATCTCTTCTTTCTTTTTGCTTACCCAAGTAAAAGTCCTAATTGTCACTAGAATTAGGAAAAAAATTTTAAAAAGGAGAAATATTAAGAATGATCTTTATTTGGAAAGAAAGGGAAAAAACAAAGATTGGCAAAAGGGAAATTCTTCAAATTTTGTTACAAAATAAAAAAGGTGAAGACCCAACAATATTGCTGGCTAAATAACTTCATCCCGAAAACGTGAGCTAACTAGCTAGAGTTTGGAACCCCTTTCTCATTCTACAGTGCTAAACAGGTTAAAATACGAGAAAGCTTCCCAACACGCATGGCCAAATTGGCACATATTATGGAATCAATGCTCCAACTAAAAAGACGGTGATCAAATTTAATTTATATTAATTATTAACGTCTTTGTTTTCCAACTAATCCTGATTCAGACATGGGAGGATGATATGGTATATATGTACTACGTAGATTAAATTCATTTAAATAATATAAGGGATAATAATTCTTAAAAAAGGATGGGTTCAAATTCCTGATCATTGTTGTCGAATTTTTTTGGGTTGGCTATTGCTGGCAAATTGATGTACAACAACTGATTTGAGTAGAACTTATTGATTGTGAAATTCACGTGGGCGGAGCAGGAGATAATCTTCTAACTTAAAATTAATTCATAATTCGTGGACTAGCTAGCAAATGTATGTTTAAGTTACCTATGCCTAGATCGCGGATAAATGAAAATTTTATTGATAAGACCTTTTCAATCGTAGCCAATATCTTATTACGAATAATTCCGACAACTTCAGGAGAAAAAGAGGCATTTACTTATTACAGAGATGCCGTTCCCCTTTTTTCTTTTGGGGGTTTTTTTTTTCATATAAGAGTTTTCATTTAACACACCCTTTTCATGTACGGGTTCAATATAATCTCCTATACATATTACATGGATTTTAGGCTTTTAATGCATTATTCTCATATATAGGGCTATTTGCTTAAGGTCACTTTATTAAAAAAAATTTTACTAAGAAAATGACTAAAAAAGTAAAGTACATAAAATTAAAAAAGTACTAAAAATTAAAAAATACTGTATGAAAGGTTATTAAATTTTGTAATGAAATTTTCTTG